AATTTTATACTCGCTCTAGACTGCTCTATGTCGGTATTTCTTATATCAGTTCTAAACTTCTCTAAAGTATTACTTCAATTTCAACATTTTTTTTTACAAGTCCAACATTCAACGAAAAGAAAATCCACGCCATAAACCACCATCCACGAAGGTCTTCGAACTTTTTTGCAAATGGGTTCGCATGATGTAATTCGGTGTGCTCACGAATTGTCGTAAAATGCTGGTTAAGTCGATTTTCCCTGCAACCATAAGATTGCCGTATTACGGTGTTTGAATGTCTATTTAAGGTAGTGATCTTCTCCCATAAAAGGCTCGGACCATAGTTTCGATTCCGTAGGAATCAAAGGCTTGGTTGGCCCGGTACGTGGTCGAAATAGCGCCTGTATACGTTAGGCTATCCATATAATGAACAGGATCACAAGCATGCGTTACGCGCTTCCTGAAGTTACCGTAACGAAAAGGTGGTCTTAAGTGCAGAAATTCGGTGGTACAAAACATACAAGAAATATTTCGAAACCTTCGACTCGGATCACCGGCTCTGAGGAAGACGAAGATGTCGAAACGTTAGCCGAAAATAAATATATTTATCAACCTCGTGCAAGCTTATCAAGAAAGAATACATATTGATTAGTCACAACGAGGTTTAGCGAAGGTCGGTTTCGAAATATTACTACGCTTTGTGCTAGCTGGTAATACACCGACCTCTGCACGATGTGCGCAATGATGTATGTCCGGAAGAAATATAAGTTGTTACCACCGGACATTGTCATTATATATCCACCATCAGCATCGTGTATAAAAGGGCATCACTGAGTGAGGATGCCTCATTCGAGAAGATGGCTCACTGAGGAAGATCTGGCTCGACACGAAGGCGAAGACGCAACGTCGAGACGAACAACAAGCGAGGACCATCGACTCGGATCATCGGCTCTGAGGAAGACGAAGACGTCGAAACGTTAGCCGAAAATAAATATATTTACCAACCTCGTGCAAGCTTATCAAGAAAGAATACATACAAGAAATACTTGTACGGCAAAATAAAAGACCATGGACGAAATGAGTAGATGACAACTCAACTCAAGTGGGCAATCTGCATCGATTTCTTAGTGGAAAACAACTCATGTTGGATTCTAAAGTGTTATTATCACAAGGTTACTAGTAAGTTCTATCGGTGGCCCACAGGTATTGGTCCTCGCGATGTGGTTATTCGTTGTCGCATTGAGTCGAATCAGTTGAAAAGGAGCATTGCTCGAATAAAGAATCTTGCTCAGTGGTCCCTTTTGTATAGGACGGATGCGAAGAAGACCCTCTGTGGGTCATCAACTCGGATCAATCTTGAGCCAAAGAAGACGACGACGTCGAAACGTTAGTCCAATAAAACTTATTACCAATATCGTGTTGAATTAATAACCCAAGAAACTACTGACTATTTGTGGACAGGTTAAATAGAAGTAACTTTTTAGTGATATTACCATAAAGTCTCACATTAATTCTGCAATGCTCTGAATTCCTATTCCAGCAGCACGTAAATGTTTCACTCATTTTCTACTTTGCACAACCTCCCTGCACTCTTCTATGAGGATCTGAACACCGCTTGCATTCCATTCGTTTCTTCGGATCTATCATCCCCGAAGATGCTTGAACATGTCCTGTGTTTCGGCTGCTGTTTGAGGATCTTCGTCTTTGTTATAAATGTTCTCCAAATATACTCGATTTCTCATTTAAATGCTGCGATAGTCCAGCTAGAGCGTTCCCACGGGAATAAGGAGTTAGCTGATCAAAAACAAGTTTAGTAGCAATTCGTCGAACCCCAGAGTACGGACAAGCTTAGTAGGCTCGGTGCAGGGTCGAACCAGCAAAGCGTTCGTGGTGAACGGCATCACTACCACTGCCCCATCCGCCGCGAGTAAACACTTAGTGTAAAAAAAATCATACGATGAGTTCTACTTAGAATGATCCTAATCATCGATCTATTCTTACTCCACAGTGGTATTCTCCTTATATTTGTTGTATTAGGCGGTTTCTTGATTTCTAAAAATCGACTTTATGGACATCTCATATTGAAAAATCTACCATGGTGAGACACAATAATGAATAGAAGCAGAATAATATGGGTATGGTGTCATGGTTTTTATATGCCGTTGTCGCAGTGGAATCAGCACTGAACGACCAGATATGATTTTGCACGTGACGAATTCACATGCATCAGAGATACAATACCTCCAACAGAAGGCTACCTTCAATCACTGGGTGACTCGAGGAGGTAACGGTAAAAACTAAATTTATTCCAATGACAATCCAGAGCTAGACATTCAGCTCAGTGCATTAGACCACGCCGAACATGTTGTGATCGAATTTCAATTAACGAAAAATGAGGCTATCAAATAGTAAACCCCATGCTAGGTGAGATTTGATCACTTAATGTTGCCAGCGTGGACTCGTGGCATCCATCTGCTTTCCAAGTCAGTGGATCCAATGAGGTCCTATCTTCTCACCTTTTTATCATATCCCTATCAAAATAAATATCATCCACTGCTACTAATCAATATTGATTGCTGATGATATAATCTTAACCCTTTTATTTACTGCCTTTTTCTTTTCAATGGCAGGGTATGTTGCGAAATATAACTCTTATATAATGCTAAAATATTTGCAAAACTCCGGACCGCAGGTGTATGCGATGGTGAACGAACGCGCGTTTTTGTCCTTTCCGGAGAGTAGCGCACTTCACCACCACACCATCCGGGCTGATGATATAGAACCACAAATCTTGTTAAGATCTCGCGAATGTAACCCGCAACAAACAATTCTTCTACAAATGTGTTACAAGCAATTTGGGTTGGATAGAACTGCAAATAAACAGGAGCACATAATCCGAAAATATTTGCTTCCTGAAGATGAAATCACCAAACTTTATGGTTCACTCGGAAATTGGTCACATTCTTGTCATCAGAAGAGGGAGTCTGTACAAGGTTGGTGTGCACCAGATCAGATTATCACGGTCTTCATGCGATGATTAGCATTAACAATAAAATGGAGAAGAAATTCATTCATCGTGCGAAGGAAGTAGAACTAGCTGCCTACAAAAAAACATTCTCAGCAATATCTCACAAAATTACGACTGACAATGAAAGCGACGATCCGAAAGAGGATTACGAAACGTAGATAAAATGTTCCCGTAACTGGCAAGCTCTTCTTAACTTAAAGACGATCTCTGAACTTTTATGAAGCAAGAATAAACGTCTTCTGAAAAAAGACGCTATTCGCGACAAAATCCTGTTAAACAAATCCGAGGAATGATCATCGAGCCAATTGTAGAAGGATAACCAAAAACGGATATTCACCAATAGTAAACTTGCTAATGGCAGCAAAAGCAACCTTTGCTGGGACTCGGTAATAGGATAAAGGATATAGCTATCGGAATTGATTAATCCCTAAGGGATGCGTCACGCATTCGACTTTATTAAGCATCGTTGGAGGTGAGTGGATATATATTTAGCCTTTATAATGACTCACGGTAGCCTATCGGTGTATCGACCCAGTGTTGCCATCTTCCCAGACAAGTCTAGTAGGAAATTGCCGACCCCTGGGAGGGATGGAAGGCTTCGTGGTCCTGTGGCGTGGGGATGGATCTCATGCGTATTACAGGGTGCCTTCGAGCACTGCGTTATACGTGATTCGGTGTGAAAAGCAATACCGTCAAAGATAGGCAGAGTGCAAAATTTCGACCTGGTTATACCAGACAAGCGGACTTTGCAATGGTTGTCTTTCCAATGTATTAACAAATACGATACAGTGGTATATCTCCTATATTCGTTTTGTCGATGCAATTGTCATCTCTCCGAAAAATACCGTACAAAAACAGCCCACTTACCAAGTTCAAACAAGAAGAACGAGAAATAGAGCCAGGAATAATTTGAAAGAGAACCCAACTAATGAAGCACGTCAACTAAGAAGAAAGGATTATCCTGAATGGATCATGGATTAGAAACAATATTCTGTCTTTTCCTGGAGCGTCGATTAGATAAGGATAATGACATGATACAACTCGGGCAAAAACGACGAGAAGCATGACACGCCTTCGAGCCTCTAACAAAAGTTACCAAGAAACTTATTGATCCCGACTTAAGTGCTCACTTATTTCACGGCAACAGCGCTTTAAGCTCAGTGCTATATGGTAGGAACACGGGCTGATAACCATGGCCAAATCGACAGTAAATGGGGCACCCAAATAATGCCTAATAAAGATAAACAGGGATAAGATCAATGCCAGATCGTTTTTCGTAGTTCGGATTCAAAAGAATGCTCTGCTTTCAAAACCCAGCAGAATATAACTCAAGAAATACATGTCGATGGGCTGGTCATAAAATGAAAACGAAGACGACAGATCGATAATAATAACACTACAATGAATTCTTAGATGCGTAGAATACTGGCATTCATAATTTGGATCAACTTTCGGGTTTTTAATTTGCAGTTGGAGCAACAAGCAAGAAGCCACTTCCATAGATCAGGGTTATAATACAACAGTGATAAAACTTAAGCCAGAGATGGAAGTTTAGGAGAATCAACTCCCTTCCTCCAGCATGTGGAATTAAATCAAGTCTTCTATAACCACGTAAAAATAGTGGAAAATGTGTATGTCAGCGTATACGCAAGTATTGGAAATCTATTCCACGATTCGACCAAAAAACATTCAAGCAGGTAGGAAACAAATAAAGGGCAATTCGGGATCACTCCTAAAAAGTAAGCCCTATTTTAAGTTAAAGAAAGCGTAAGAAAGGTGTAGTCAAATAAAAAGTTCTGAAGTATATGAACAAGGTAAACCTATTGACGACGTTTAAAGCCCGACAAATACTACTATTTGTGTCGTCGGAAGATCAATACTCTATGAGAAAGCTTTTGTACATGAAAGTGAAACTAGTATTTTACTAGCGCCCTTTCGAGGTGAAGATCATAGATTATATAGCTAACTCTCCCATACATACAATACGCTGCACTTACTTAAACGTATTCGTGTCATTTGCTTTTGAATCGATAGGGTTATCCGGGCAGAATTCACCGTGAAATACCATGATCAGCAAAGCGGCAGCGCGAGTTTCATATGGTGTGAGTGGAGGCGAGTCTGGAAGTGTTAAAAGCTGAAAGTATCGTTATATCGGAGGCAACGACAACGACCAAAGCGAAAGTTTTGATGAGACATCGAACTACCGCGAATAACGTAACTTTTATTTATAACTATGGTAGTTTAACCACAAGAATGCTCAGAGATGAACAAATCTCATTAGTCCATATTTCAACATCCTCATGGTTGCATTTCACATAATAACCTGGTATGGCAAAAGAATAGGTAGTAAATAGAAGTTAAAACACTAATCAGTTCATATTCAGGGTAAATACGAATCAACTAGAGAGCGCATTTTGTTCACAGTTTTACTTCTACCATTAACTTAGGTTGACGTCAGGTTTTATAGTAGCAAGTCTTACGTTCATCGACAATCCCTAGCTCAAGCTCGGAACTCCAACGAATTATAGATGGTTTGTGATTTTGCGATGACCCATCACTACAATCGAAGTACACATCGTCAGACGATCCATCGGAATCATCGGTGGCTTCGCCATTTCTAAAACAGCGAAAAAAAACAAAGTACAGCACATAGTATGTGCCACACCTAATACCTAATAGTTTAACACCACACGCACTGTTTGAACGAGTGGTGAAACGTTGTTGGGCTCGATAAAGTTAATGTAAAGCTGAGCACATGTATGAGAAGTCACCCATCAATAGATTTTTTTAAGCTCAACTTTAAATGATACACTCTTCACACCAGAATCAAAGTGTTTGATTTAGGATGAGAAATAAATTACATTAAAATAACACAACAGTGATTCAGCTCAGATACCTTGTGGTCATGACTGAAGAGAGGTGTTCAGCAGCTTCAATTTCAAGCCGTCTGATGTCGTTCATATTCAACCCCACCCATTCGTCCTGCCACGCCCAGGCTTGTCTGTGAGCTCGAAGCATCGTATTCCGAAGCGCCAAATCGTGAATCCATCGCTCAGCACGCGTCTACGAATGAAATAACCTTAGATAGATCACCGAGAATGACTTAAAACGCTTACTTGCATTCCCCAATAGCGAAACTCCACGCGGCAAATTTTGTACGCACACATTATCGGCTTACCTTAAAGAAATTAAGTACAATAATAAATCACATAATCTGACAAAATCGATATTTCTAAGAACAGCCTCATTAGTAGTATCGCTAACCAGTACCGCTAAAATTACTATTCACTATTTTCGCAGAAAGGCTATTAATCACATCATTAAAATATGCCTTCTTGTGAGATATGCAGCACGAATTTACACACGCTGAAGATTTAAAACTTAAGAACACACTTAAATACGGATACCTAAATCTGTGTGGCTGAGGCAACTATTAAAGGTGAAATTTTCAACCCTTTCGCTGTGTGTGGATAGATATGAATTCGCTCCGCCTCTTTTCTGCGCTTTCATCTTTGTAACTGAGTTTTCCAATGTATTTTGATAATCCTTTCGGTGGTATACGTTTCCTGCGTTTCGTTTAAACCCTTATGTCTATTTCCCCACACTTTGGAAACATTTCGGACATCTAATTTCCACGAAAAGGCACGCGTCCGTTATCCAACTACAGCATTTAGAACTCAGTTTCACAATTATTAATTATACCATAGTATCACAATGTTTTAACCTTTTGCTTACTGCCTATTGTTTTTTTCATGGCAGCGCATGATGTGAAATACAACCACAAAAATGTTGAGAAATGAGTGAAACTCGAAATCTCAGGTGCAGTTCGAACCCGTAATTACCATTTCCAAGGGCTCACGTGCAATCCAACACGCCAACCGAGCCCCTTCTTTTCTTTTCGCTAACCATGTTTTAGATCTATGAATGCTTTCGGCTATCAGCAAAAAGGAAAAAGAATAAATAAAGCAGTAAATGGGAGCTAAAACATGATTTCGATTGTATCTTCAGCTTAACTGAGCTGAATGTCGATTTATGCTATCCAGACGAGAAAGAAGAATTTCTTAAACTCGCGCTGCATATAGCCATTTCCATTGGTAACGAAACCGTAGCTCCTCGGTGTGGAAAAAAAACCAGTTTCGCAAACGATAATTGTAGCGAGAATAAAGTCCCGTTTATAGTGCCCTACATTTCCAACGAAATGAGTGCAGTCAAAAAACGTTGCTTAAAACGGCAGGTCTATAGAATTACGTAAGAGTGATAGAAACACCACCGGATACTCTCAGCTCGTAAATAGTTCGTAACTGCCTATATGACCGTCCGTGTGCAACGCAAAATTGCATTATATGGCGTGACGGTGGAGAGGGTGGTTGCACGAGTTCGGGCACGGTGTACCAAATCTTTTGAAAAGCGTGTGGGGATGAACATAATGGCGAAACGGGTAGATGACCCTGCGTCCCCATAAAAGAACAGTTGGACGGTAAATTTAAAGTGAAAACAAACACCTTACTAGGCGCGCATGGGACAGAGGCATAACGGAGAAGATTTTGAAGGAAAAGCCACTTTCATCGCACAGGGAAACGAAACATAAAAACGGTTAAAAAATTGAAAAACTATCCAAACATCAGCGTGTAAAACTCTCGAAGCGCTTTTGGATCAATTCCAAAAATCCTAGAAATGAACCGCAAAGAGGAGTGCCTTGTGATCATGCTGACGTAACGCCATATCTCAGGCTAATTTTCTGATCCCAACCAGGCAAATTCCTCGCCCACCTATGTAAGACTCTGTGCGACTGGTATTAAACAATTAACTGGAAGACTAAGGACAACAAAGCGGTGAGCGCGAGAGAATCTGTTAGCTATACGAATCATTTATATATTCAGTTTTGTCTCCTGAAGGCATGAAAGTATTTGGTTGAGCAAACTGCATGTCAATTTGACCTTCCTAGGCTCCGAAGAGAGCGAAACCTCCGAAACGTCAGTTATTGTGGGTTGACAAATGCTGTAATGACAACCTCATGCTTGTTCATCCAGAAAAACAAAAAACCCACACTATTGGAAGCAGCAAAAATCAGACCGGCTTTTCCAAGAAATTCATTAACCGAGGCTGAGCGAATAAGAAGTGACGACCCAGCAGAAACGGTTAAGCATAATAGTGCTAAGATGGAAGGACAAAGGTGGTACTAATATATGGTATCGACGTAGTATCTCACGTTCCTTCCCACCACCTGTTTAAGGCTGACAACCATCGATACTTAAAGTGAACAAAAACTCGTCGACATAATTGATCGGATGGTCAAGTATGCTACGTGTTTTAGGCACACTAACAAATAGTACGTATTTTACTGCTTCTCCATAGTTCAGGTACATTCGTATGTTCTGCCATCTGCTCATTCAGACATGCATGGTGAATGCGTTGAAAATCTAGCCGTCTACTACGACAATGTGTAAAAAGTGCAGATGGAATGGTTTAATGCCGATGTTAACTTGAATTTCATTCAAATGGACATAGTGTGTCTATACAGTCAAGAAGTTATGCCCTGGGAGATGGTGGTAGGTAATCAGAGAACTTAGACATAATACTGACTGTTATAGGAAACTATACAGAGCTTAGGACAGCCTAATTCGTAGTGCATATGAACATTGAACATGGGATGAAATCCCCCATCATGGCCTATCGGCCACTAGATGAATGAGTCGTATGATTCATGTCGTTGCCAATGAGCTAAACGACAATAAATATTGTTAATGTTCCGTTTAAGCAAAGTATAATTTGCTTTCAAACAGCCCCAAAGGTAACACATATTTGGCAGTGACTTATACGAAGCAGACTCATTACATGATATATAGTGGACGATGCACATTGGTTTCAAAACGCTTTATTCTTGATGCATTAGTACACCGCACTTCTTTTTGCTATAGTTTTTGTGCTCGCGCAATCATAATGAAATTCCACGTTTAAAGGAAACCCGGCAAGGATAAGATGATAACTAAATTATGATTGCCGCATATAATGGAAGAATATAACGAATATTGGAATAAAATACAAGACTTAAGTTGAAAAAAAGAATCCCAACTACTAATAGCAATGTGTCCGGATGGTCAACTACAGCAGCACGTGGCAAATAGTTACATATAAATCATTCAGCAGTAAAGCAAAGCCTTTCGTTCTATAAATCTCCTAAGCTCCCAACTCCCCACGTCGTCTAGTTCTTGAAAACTGTCGTCCGTTATCATGTCATCATTACTACACGAGGAATTACTTTTGAATCCATATTTGGAACTCAATACAACCTGCTTGGACGAACTCCTCCACCCAATCATCGTTAAGCGGGCCTCGGTTTGTTTTCTGACTATGGAATATTTTGGGGTCTTCTTCAGCACAATAGTCATTACTGGGGATCGGATCCTTAATTAGAAATACATTTGCATATTTACAATAAAGAATGAAAGTAGATCATAAATATAAAGATATATTACGGTAAAAACCTTGACAAAGTCCATGACGTCCACAATAAGATGTTTCAACTCTTCTGGATTCAGATTGAAGACGTTATCCTCCGTTCCATGATCATTTCGATAGATGGTTTCCACCTCAATACTGAACCGATCCATCATTGGGGTAGAGTATCTGAACAAAAAGTAAGTTTATTTGCCAGATGCGGAGGCTCTTGAACGGATAAAAGAATAAAGGATAGCGCTCTCGGTGTTGAAAAATCCTTGAGGAGTGTGCCATGCATTTGACTTCATTAAGCATCGTTAGAGGTGATTGAATGCATATCCGACCTTTACAATGACTCGCTGGCGGGACACCGATCTATCGAGTCAGTGCTGCGATCCTCTTGCACAGGTATGGTACCGTTGCATTAAAGTTAACAAGGGGGAAATGTTGACAATCTGGTGGATGTATAATACGAAGTATGGTTGCCGAAGACCACGTTGCACCTATGCTATAGAACAACTGTCAATGAGACAACTTTTAAGCTTTCTAAACTGCCACAACTGTTTTAAGTCATAGGAAAGAGTTGCTGATGAAGAAGATGCTGAGATCTCTCTGCTTTCAAGACGTTTCGAACCACACGAATGGAATTAGATGCATATGGAAAGCGGCTACAAATTAGGCGCAGTCAAAGCCATCGATGAATATATGTCATCGTAAATGCGTTGGGTACAGCATTCTCATTTTCGAAAATCAGTCAGATTCTGTGCAAATCGAATCACCTGTCACCTGTAGTCCCGTTGATCGTCGAGTGACTAGAGCGATCGCCAGTAAATCTTCCATTTTTCCCTGTGGGGTGCAAGAGTAACCCAGTGGGTTCTGCTCACTTTGGGGACTCGTCGAGCATCATATATTTCTTCGAGGCTCTTTGTGAAGAACTCTGACCATCGGGTCGGTAGTCTTCCTGCAGTACGTGTGACATCCCGAGGAATCCAGTCACTAACGGCTCCTGTCCATCGGTTGTCATTCATACGCATGACGTGTCTGGCCCACCTTATCTTCGGCTGTTTGGCGTACAGAACGGCATCTTTAATTTTTGATCGTTGACGCAGAACGAGGCTTCGGATCCCATCTCTTAGTTTGAAATGGGATACTACTAGCATCGTCCTTTCGACTGCGCGTTCGATAATCTAATTCAATTTCGGAGTTGCACCATCAACGGCTTAACATATGAGTGGGCGAGATATAGAGGAATGGTACACAATGACATTCCATAACCTGCTCATTGACTACTCTAATTCTACGCTTGTTTATTTCTTTTCACTTTCCTTTAGAAACGCACGCTCTTGGGAGTATTTGGTTTGACGGAAACTTAAGAAAAAACTTTTATGAAAGACGAAAACAACTCATCAGTGCGGCATTACCATTCTGTCGACAAACAGCACACCGTGTAAGCAGCCGTTTTTACTTTCTCCCATCGTTAAAACACCAAAGCTGGTTATAACGGATATCGTAATAGTTTTTATTTAACAATCAACTACTCTCGACACCCCTAAACATCAGGTATTCATGTGAATTTCTGCATTTTAAAACTCCCTCCGAAAGTAGTACACGACAGAACTTTTTTAACTCAATGTTTTGATGAGCAGACACGAGTTCGTTAGAAACAAAATCTTTTCAGTACAATACTGACTGACGTCTCGGCTGTTTCGCTTCCTTCAAAGCCTGGAAAGGTCAATTTGACATGCAGTCTTCTCAGTCAAACACTTTGATAACCTCGGCAGAAAAAAATAACATAAATTTCTATTTTTCCTTTTTCTATGCGCCAAGTTTTTTCTTCCGAGGTTATGAAAGTGTTTTCTTCAGTAGACTGCATATTATTTTGACTTTTCAGGGTTTGAAGAAGGCGAAAACGCTGAAACGTCAGCCAGCATTGCACTGAACAATTTTGTTTTTAACGAATTCGTGTCTACACATCAAGAAAATTGCAAATTACTCAATCAATGCCTAGAATAACATAAAGTAGGCCTTGGATTTCTCATTAAATTTTTATATATCCGTCTTGGACATCTACTGTGCATATCCTAGCGCCTCTTGCATTCTATTCGTTTCCTCGCATCCATCATCCACGAAGGCTTCCATTTTCTTCACGTATAGGCCCCAGGCGTTTCCATTCGGATTTCAGAAAGGAGACTTTTCCCAGACAACATAGAACTTTACTCTATCAGAAACGCAGATCTTCTTGTAAGTAGTCCTAATGAACACCAGCTCAACAAACAGAATGGCAATGACTTATAGACACTACTAAAATGGTGCGCGTGTAGCGCAGTGGTTAGAGGTGCCCTGCAATACATATGGATTCGATCCCACGCCCCAGGTTCACCAAGCATTCCATTCCTCCAAGGTCGGCAAATTGGTAATAAATAATCCAACGGTTTACCGCCTCATCGTGATTGGAAGGTGTTCTGGGTATCAAGCTGCAATCTACGGTAGGAGGAACCATTCCCCCAGTAGGTTCTCCCAAGCTGAGGAGTTCGGCGTTTCCATTAGGAAGCCTAGCTAAGAGTAAACCAATACCAGGATCCACCACCGTTCCTGGTATCAATGTCTCATAGTGGCAAATTTTCCTCTGATCCACAAGGGCTGCGACTGTCTATCATGGTGACGACCTAGGGCAGACTCTGGCCTGGTTGACCTCGTGATTCCAGGAAACCAAAATGACTGAACCAGCAAAACTCCGAGAAAATGGAGATTATGCTGGTGCCCGCATAACCTGCGAGGACGGTCCATCCAAGTACCCAAGTAAGTATCCAAGTAATGGCGAAATCTTGAAGACTAAAAAATTATGGTACTGGAAAATGCGTAGGTCAAAACAATGAAATTCATATGATGAAAGAACACTCGCTTCACAGATATCTCCAGTTTTATATTATAAACTAAACAATAAGTCCTCTAGCGCTACTAATCCCAAGCCTTACTCATGCAGACCTCCTCAGATTGAAAAATTGGACGTCACTTACTAAGCTTAGCATGCGTTCGCAAAATCGCTGAATAAAATACAAATGTTAAGACTCCTAGGCGAATAGCGGAATAACGGAAGAGAACACCACGTACTCCCCAGAAAATATGTTAACGTTCAAATTACTGTTGGCACTTTGATCACCGATATCCATATGCGTTCGTAAGTTTGGTTTCATAAGTACACAAATAAGCACATTGTTCTACTTCAGGGAATAATTCAGATAGCCACAATGGGCAACTCCTCACAAAAAGCGTCTTACACGCTCGCCAAATCCATGTCTTCGTAACTTCTAGGAAATTGAAAAGAAAGCGCCGATCGTCCACATTTAAACTGCACTCTGAGGAGTTGTGCTCTAAACAATAACTCATGCCCACCCAGATTTACTAATTGCTTAAACTATAGGTCGGAAGCCATTATGATGTCAACAGAACCAATTCATTTCGGATAATGAAATGATCTACATTCCCGTGATTGCCTTTGAACACACCACATATTCTGCAATATTATACGAGTGTTTGTATGTTAGTTGTCCTAGCGAATAAATAGCTATATTAGGACTAAAGACCTATTCTAAACCCAAATATGAATCATCGTGGAATTCATCGCAGAAACAACACTTGAAACTATACTTTCTTGGACGATTAATATAACATGAAGTAGATAAAACACTTTATTCCGGTTAGCCGAGTGAAGATCTTTATCCACCCCGTGTTACATTAAACATCCAAGAAAATATTACTTAATTACGAGTTAAAGAAAAGTCGGTTTTTGAAAGCCCCATAATATTTGCTTGAGCTAAAATTCAGCACAGCAATGGCACATTTGTGATGATAAATTGGTTTCGACGCGCCAATGCGTAATCTCAAAATTGAGGAAACGTCCGTCACCGCATATAATACACGTACTCGTTGAGAGATGTATAGAAGAAGTGGTTATACGAAATTTTTTCAGTGAATTCTAGACACCATAACAACAAGTGCTCAGCACGCTCACGACTACGCCTTGTTTGTCGCTACGCACGATGCCGCCGTCCGTTGCGACTCTCGATTCACGTGCAAAAAGAAAAATGTCAGCCACCTCCCCAACCGCCTAGCCATTTTAGTTGCTCAGTTGCAACCAAAGTTAAGGAATCGTCGCAGGATTTACCCTCGTCACCTGTGGTCTCAACCGGTGATTCCATACTACTTTCCACTTTTTTGCATAATTTATAACGTACAAGCTGTAGAAAATCACTTTTCTCTACCTATGCCTCGTACAACATCTATAATGCTTGAGCTTTCATCTGATTAGAACAACCAGAAAGGGAATTCAGTGGCACTAACAAGCATTGCTTTGTGAAATTTTTAACTGTCATTTCAAGAAGCAACGAACCTCGTTTTTGTATAAGGGTAAGCATTCCAAGCCTCTTCGTGGACTTCCAGTGCGCTGGATGGCAAAATGCTTCGAATCCACACTGAAGAAACCAAGAATGATTAATTTGCCAATCCAAAGTAAGTAAATAAATGGCAAACGAGATTTATTCCAGTTTGTTGAGTCTGGCCTTAAACTTGAAACGAAACTGGATTAAGTAAACTTGGCTTTTTTAGTAATTGGAAAGGAAAAAGTGTTCTACTGCGGTGTCTAATCACCTGGATCAACTAAGAAAATAAAAATAAGAATATACTACTTGACTTTAAAAATACCAGACTTTGTTGGTGGCTAACAGATAACGTCTTGCCAACAGAAGATGTGCAGGAAAATAAAAAAAAATATTTGCTATTACAAGTTTGACTCTGAACAAAGATTCTAACTCTGAGCAATTAACAATGCAAAATGGATGTAAAAGGAGGGAAAATGGAATTGAATAAAAGGAAAAGAGTGAAAGTTTTCCGAGTGATACAACGACAAAGATCATTCACGACGACTACAAATCTCAGGGGTGGATTCGATACCTCAAGCGGAAGTACCGCAACGAAATGGGGCATGTCATAAACCTAAACTTTTGTACAAGCTATGTCTACATACGTGCGGAAAGACCATCGACTCCCGCCTGTCCATTTTTCACTTTTCCTATGCAGAATGAAAATACAACTGTAAAATGCAAGAAACGAAATCAGAAAATCATCCCAAAAAGGGATTTGTTCGCCTATTAAACTGGCTTCTGCGAAAACACCGTTGCCGACAACATTGTCGATCTACCTCTTGCCAGAACTTTTTGCAAAAAGAGAGTTTGAAGGACACCAATAGACGTGTCTGTGTGACCAGAAGTGCTCAAGATGAAGAACCAACGATGAATCGCACGAGTCGTAGGCAATCACCAACACACGTCCCAACTTACAAAACTGTAGAATGGCAATCGGACAATATCAAGAGGAACAACTGTAATAGCTGAGGCTGAAGGTGGACAGATCAAGAAGGCCACTCTATGGCGTGGAAATCACCTAGAAGTTCTACTCTGATCACTTCCACAACAATATCCTGCTGCTTCCAGATGAAACCAAAAAAAGATGAACATGTCATCCCAGCACTTCTCACCTGGCTTTCTTATATTACTTCATCGTTGAGGAAGTATATGTCACATGAGAACGAGAGAATTAAAATTAAACATATAAAGAACATATAGACGGATCTTATCAACACATTAGCTACGATATCTACTGATCATCTCCTAGAATGGAACATTTCCAACTAAAGGAAAAACAGCAAGACCTTGTTATTGCTCAAAAAAGGAGAACCGCTCGATAACTGCCTAACGCCTTTAATCTACAAGCTCCTCATTAAAATCGTTCCCAATGCCATCGATATTTGTGTGACATAAAACAACTTATTAGAATGGAGAGATATCCTAGCATTTCATAACAATAACACCTGCTCTGCACACCAGCTACAAGTGATAATTTTTGTACAATTAACACATTCGTGACCATACGAACTTTTCGATAACAGAGGACAAACATAAATAGAATAAAGGATAAAAGGATAAAGCTCCTGACGTTGATCAATCCCTGAGGGATGCGCCATGCATTCGACTTCATTAAACATCGTTGGAGGTGATTGAATGCATATCTGGCGTTTACAATGACTCGCGGTGGCCTACCGATGTATCGAGCCAGTGCTGCTATCCTCCCAGACAAGTTTGGTTCCAATTTGCCGACCCCGGAAGGATGGAAGTTCAAAAAACGGCACCACACTAGATCAAAGCAACTTGGGACATATTAGTACAGACCTATACCTTGCAATGGCTTAATTTCGATTAATAAAATTCACAGACTTAACTCTTTTATTTACTGCCTTTTTCTTCTTAATGGCAGGTTATGATTCGAATTATAACTCGTATGAAAATCCCAGTTCCTCCCCAGATCCCAACCCCAAAATCCCAAACCCCAGATCAATCCCGTTGACGGGTGATTGCTGATGGCAAAAAGATCGATAGAACTAGCTGAGAGACATGCAAAGCGAAGGACCCGGATGGTGTAGTGGTGAAACGCGCTGCTCCCCGGTAAGGACAACAGCGCGTGTTCGTTCTCCACTGCATACATCTGTGGTCCGGAGTTTTGCAAATATCTCAGCATTTCATACGAGTTAAAATTCACAGAGTTTAGATATTTGGAATGGCTCAAACCTGAAACACTACAGCAATTTCTGCAACGCAAGAACAAAACAAATATATATATATATATATATATATTTGTATATGCACGCATTTATGTATACACATACATGTATGCACGTAAATATATACATATATTTGTAATGTATATATATACATATATATGTATATATATATATATATAAAATGTGTCAAAGTTCCCTACTAAGACTGTTTTTAAAAACAACTCTAAGTATAAGCAGGAATTCCAAAATTTTCGGGCAAATATATTTTCTTACAACAGGAAAATGAGTATTACAAACCAGGGATCTTGCTTCCAATGTGGTAGATCTTGAACGTATATTGTCCAGCAACACCTGATTCGTCCTTATACGGTTTGTTGCTAAGGATCACCACTCCACTGTCCCTGCCGTGTGAATCCAAGCGACTCTTCTTCTGGAAACCAAACTTTTATCACTAAAGCAGTTTTCTTGTTATACGGTAAGCAATCTGCGTTTCCGATCTCTGATGCTTTCACTTAAAGGATTTTTGCAAAATTTCGTTTACTTTCCTCATTTTTCATCTTACATTTTTTTTTGAGTATTACTATACTATTGGTCCTTAATCCCCTTTTAGGTTACAACTAGGATTTCTGATGGTTTTCGTTTCACAATAATGCTTTTTCAATTCAGAACATGTAGTTGACTGCACGATAGAAGCTACTTGACGAAAATAACCGATAGTGAAAAACTTCACGGGTAGGGCATGCACGTCAAGGCTACTGGAAGGAATTCTGCGTGTAAATTGAAGCAAAAACTCACTCGTCCTCTAGGGAAATCAAGCCCTTCATCACTTCCGAATTGGAAAATTGGTAGCAAACTTGTCTGAGAGGATAAAACACTGATTTGTTATATCGACAGGACAAATATGCATGGTGATTAATAAAGTCAGTCGACTGCTTGACGCATCCCTAACGGAGTAATAGATTAACGCCCAAAGATTCATCCTGTACGCTTTGTGAAAGTTGCAGAACCTTAACGATAACTTTAACGACGAATCGCAGAAACTAAAGTGATTCATCAATGTAATTCTAAAACATCAATACTTTATAAAAGAATTCACTAAGGGATGTCAATGACTAAAGACGCGCAAAAGACCGACATGCAGCAGCACAATGACATGACAACCCTCACGTAGATAACAATGTAGCATTCTCACGCATCAAACCATGAAAGTGATTTTAAGACGGAACCTACAAAAACTTCCCTGGCATCCTCAAGGAGCGGAAGGATAGCGAACGATCATTTGTTCCTTTATATGATGTCACGTTGCACAAGAAGACAGAGCAAGTGCCCATACCAGTAAGGTAGGCATGTTGTAATTGGGTGAAAAATTTCAAATATTCAGATACTCAAGATGATCAAAGGAAACCCATCTAACGATATTTCACTGTTCAAAACATCTGCGTCAAAAACCTTACTTTAAAGAGTTATTAAATAAAACCTATAATGATTTTTTTAAGTGGGGATCCAAAATCAGAATATGGCGACGACAAAACTGAAGCAATTTACACGCAATTCCGAAAGTTTTACAGAGATCATATCCAGGTGACCCAGAAGAACGTTTGAAGAACTCCACATCATACCCTAAAGACTAGAATGGAGAGAATAGGGTGACGGTTGTCTAAGTTTATAACGATGATCGTCACCATTCATGACAACTGATAATTTCAGATGCCCTTGTCTCAACAATCAAAGGAGGAGTCTCGCAACGAAAAGTATCATAATGGCATAAACTCTGTCATAGTAAATCTAGGACTTTGCTTAATCAATGACATTGTTGTCCTAAAACATTACGTATAATCAGATCGTCCCCTCTTCGGTCAAGATTCTAGTTTTTCGACGAAGAGAAAGAAAGCGCCAAAATTTGAAGAGAAGCCCCAAAACGAAAAGAAATTGGGATGTTTAGATTAGTTGGCTTTGGAAAGACATCGTTATCAACGACGTCGATCAAAAAAGTCAGCAGGTTACTGAATACTTCCATCTTTACTTGTTATTCATTTTCTTATTTGTCAACTATCTATCTTTTCCACTTATTTTCTAATTGCCTATTTGTTTACTTTTTTATCTTCCACTTCATATGTTTCCTCGGATCCGTCATCAAAAGCCTCCGGATCTGCGTGTAGATTCAAATGCGCTTTGAAGATTTCGTTCTTCTTTATGGATTTCGTCGAACAGTGGTTGAGTATTTTCTCCCTAGGAATCCTAAAATAGCCATGATAAAACATTCCTAGGTCTTCACCAAAGGCATCACCCTTTATGGATTGGAGAGAGTTGCCTCGAAAAGTTTGATACAAAGTTCCCAAATCCGAAATGATGGGAGGTTCTGGGAGAGTTTGAACCAGTGGCCTTCCGCGCATTATTGAGTAGCATCTTTACCACTACCTTACTCGACCCTAATGATTCACGTCAATGCTAAAAAACCATTTAAAAGTTTCTTAAGAAACAATCGAGCTAATATAACAAAATGACGTTGCACAAACAGCAAGTATTAACCAAAACTTATGTCCGAGTTTATGAAGCTTTACAGACGGGGGATAAAAGAAATTCCCATGTTGAGAAGAAGAGCAATACTGTATCGTGTGGAGTTTGAAAAAAGCGACCACAAAGCCAATCGAGAGAGCACCAGTTATAAAAAAAAGATGATGGTCTTCTAGCGTCTACACAGAATTCACACCTTCCTAAAGGACAAAGAAGAACATCACCTACCAGCTCTACTGTAATCAACAGTCACGTTCACTGGTCTTAATATCAGATCAGGTAAGACAGGACATTCTCCCTTAGGAATTCCGACCTGCTATTTTATCGCCGAATAACAAACGTCCGGTCTGGGGAGGATTAAACTACAATATCGAAAGCACTTACCACCAGTTTTCATGAACATATTGACCTAGCTATTCTGACATCATTTGTCAGAATTCAAATTTTCCAGTGAGTGGGAAAAGAGGACTTTTTGTTGTTGGACCACGATATCGCTAACTCTCACCCAATCGGCCGGTTCTTCGTTACCCGTCGTCATCATTCGGGCCATATTGACTGTCAAAATACTGCACGAACGAATGTTGTTCTAGTGTCCAACATGTCAAAGCGATTCAGCACAACCATGTCCACATAATTGTATACTTGTTTAAGTATTGAACGAAAATCGTTAACATTCAGGAAGTACAAGAAATCGCTTTAATCCCATTTTCTTCCACTGAAAAAAACCTTCGGATGTGTTCAGAGAGAAACGGCCATAAAAACTTCGTAACCCCATAGGCCTTCATGTTGAGTGAATTATAGATGTTAAGCACGGGCTATTTAACGTGTACGCGACGAAACTGGTTCTACAATAACTGATGACAATCTCTTTCGCCACATCGTGGTTGGGCGAGGCCTCTGCGTGTCAGATTGCGGTGTAAGACCAATAGTTCATACCCCCAACAGCGTCTTTCAAGCTGAGGAGTCCGACATATCCATCTGGAAGCCCGAATAAGAGTAAACCAATACCAGGAATCCCTGCTGTCCTAGTATAAAATTTGTCGCAAGGTAGCAGATTTTCATCATATCCACAAGGACGACCACTACCTGTTTTAGTTACAACCTGAGTGTGAGTTTGACTACGATAACCTTAAGGACTTCAGCTAACCACAATGTCTCAACCAGGAGACCTTCAGCCTCAGTACTCCGCACACTGGACAATCTCGCGTACAACGTCGAACGGTGAAACAACCGGTTACAGGCGATCAAATCTCGAGTTGAACACAAGACACTCACTGGAAACGGGCGATACGGCACGCCCACAACACGCCGTGGAGACTGCTTCTTGTTCTGCAGTTATAACGCTAGAACAGTTATTTCAGAAGCCGATCTTTATGCTCTTCTTGAGGGTGTTGGTCGCATCAAATTCTACGGGATAGCACTACAACAGACCAAAATCAGGAAGACCGATATACGCCAATTAGATGATGGGACCCTTCTTATTCGCGGAGGGAAATTTCCGTAACAAAATCTACGAGGCGTTAGCTTTGTCGTACTCCCATCTATTTCCCATCTAGTCACCTCATACGAAATCCAGTTATCGCGCTTGGCCATTCCTTGTCTCCAATTTTTGCGCGACAACAAAGTCAGTACCATCAACTGTTACTAACATGTACAGCCCAAAAAAGTGAATTAAACACGTTCGACAGCCAACTGGAGGTAGTAATTCGCGATGAGGACTTTTTTTTACAAATTCGTTGCTGGGAATTCCAATGCTAGATCACCAATGGGGAAAGAAAATGGACAGAGGATCTAAAAATTTAGAACTGGAGATCGAAATGAGAGTTCAAACCGTTTTGTAGGACTCCTGTCTGCGGTATTTTTCCATATTAATTCACTTCTCGAAACGACAAAAAATCGCCGATGGTCATAGAAGTATAATAATGGTACTACTTAGGCGGAGATCGGTCACATTCTCACAAAGATCGAGCCTCTTTGACATCTCAATGGTACCTGGGTTCTGCACTGAATCCTATTCCCGCCCTCTCCGCGCGAAGATTCGATTCAGCTATAAAAAGGAGAAGAGCTCTAGTCATTATTTAAGAAAAGCAAGACGAGTCGTGCATAACCAGGACCTTCTCAATCAACTCCTCTCCTCAGATGACTGACATATAAAGAGTACCCGATCGAGGACCACAAGCTCCTTGTCGGAGAACTTAAAACCTGTGTTGAACTCTGCTTAAACAAGAAGTTACGACCGCATCTCCATCAACACTGGAGTAGTTGTTCCAGAACAGGAGATTGAATCATGATCCCAACTGCAACATAACTAATAACACAAATAATAAATCTCAGTAGCAGAAGATTCTTGCAAGATTTACATTTGCAGAAGCAGATGAAGCTACTGCAACCAGCTCAAAGATTATCTGTTCCGAAGTGGTGCCGTCGGGATCTTTGCGACGAATATTCCGCTACCTGCCCTGATGAATGAAGGCGGGAGTTTCACCACATCACGTTATGATACGGAATTGATAACGGAAAAGTTCTTTACCAGCCTTATCCGCCCCACAATCCCCTTCTCCGATCTCGACAACCGCGCTGGAGAAAAACTGTTTGGGATTCTCCCATCCGAAGTACGAGCTGTCATACAAAGCATGAAGACAAGCACAGCTCGTGAACTCGATAATATCACCACCAACTCCTTTCGAACTGGATGCAAAAAACTACGTGTACTTCTTACAACCCATAAGACATCATCTTTTCAAAGGATCATGATAAGAAAGAAAAAAAAAGAGAATATAAAAAACCAAAAAACTTCGACCCAGTGAAGGACATAGTGCACGATCATTCTACCCAAGAGGAGTGATCGAAGGGATCTCCCGTCCAATATAAACGTTAGGTGAGCTCTACGAGCCATTCACGGAGATTATCCTATCGTGCATATCAAGGACAATTCATTAGGCACAACCAGTTGAGCAAGCACGATTCCGACAGGAATTCAACCGCATGGACCAAATCGAAACCGTGCCGTGGATTCCTAACCTTTATCGGCTATGAAAAAGCGTTCGACAGCGTCGAAACAAATACAGTCCCATCGGTGCCCGTTGAAGGGAACCGGTCCCACATAAGAAGTTCACCTAACTTGTAGAAACTGCAGCATAAATATTCAGCTTTTTCATCGCTCTCTTACCCTACCCATAGAAAAAGGAATTCGACAAGGCGACACAATCTTACAAATAATTACAGAGACCACCTCGTACATAGACTTTGGACGTTCAATGAACATGGAAGACAACATGAAGGACGAATTAGAAAGAAGAAGAGCAGTAGAGACAGCACTGGGGCAGGTCAAGGAAGCCACCGACCAAGTAGGGGAACCAAAACTTCGCGCTCACCTTTTCAACCCAACAAGTGAACAGTCCTCCCAGCGCTCTGTTATGTATCAGAGACGTGGGATGACACTTCAGCCACGTCAAGAATTCTGTGCAACACCCACCGAGCGCTTGAACGACGGCTTTCGACATTCAACCGGTACTCACAACGTCTAGTCGGAATGGGTAACTCAGATCTAAACATACCTCATTCTCGAGATCCAAGAGAAAATACACTGATAGCGAAGCACACAGTGCCGGTCATATAATAAGAAGAAACTCCAAATGAACGAAAAGAACAGTCGAGTGGACTCTAAGAGAATGCAAGCGTCTCCCTGAAAGATCACCGAAACAATGGGCAAACGTGTTCGTGGCTAACGTCAACCCTTTGCATTCACAGATTGCAACGATTTCAGGCCTATGGAATGGGCCTCGCGAGTGTCATCATGTTCGAAGCTGATCACCACCTCGGACGACGTTAATG